GTTGCACACAAAGAACTTTCCGAGTAGCTTCGCGATGCCGAGCGGAGGAGTTTGGGAGCCGCTGACCCTTCCAAACGTCTGTCTGCTCCCTAGCGGTAACGCCACTGAGAGAAGGGCGAGCGCTACCTTCTCCCAACTACTTCTATGCCGCACCCCTCGAGACCGGTGCGTTTTGGCGAGGCAACCCTACGACCGATTTTCAAGCCGCGATTCCTGCGTGCTTCCCATAATCGCGCAGAGCGATTTCCCGAGGCACAGCGGCGAGCAGCACGGAGGGACGCGGGGCGGCCCCGGGGCAGGGGCGAGAACAAAGCCCCGCCGGGAGCAGGGAGCAGGGCTCGGTGCCCGGCCCCGCAGCGCGCACAGCACCGGCCGGCACCGCGCACCGGCGGCCGCCTCTCGCCGGGACGGTACCGCGGACAGCTCCGGGACCCCGGCTGGGTTCAGCCCGGCCCCGGGGGGCGCCGCTCCCGGCAAACTTTCCCACGCCCACCGAGCGGCCGCGCCCGGAGCCCCCCGCCGGGACCGCGCCCGGCCAAGGGGGACCCGAGCGGCGGCGCCCCGCGAAGTTGCTTCCCGGTGGGGCGGGCGGCGACCCCCGTCCCGTCCCATCTCATCCCATCCCATCCCATCCTCTCACCTGCCCCGGCGGCGGCCGCCCACGCCCAGAGGAGCAGGAGCAGACCCATCGGCGCGGCGCGGCGGCGGCGCCCGCCTCCCTCCTCCGTGCCGGCGAGCTGCTGGGGAGCGGAGCGGAGCGGAGCCGAGCCGAGCGCAGGCTCCCAGGCGCGGAGCGGCTCCGGCTCCGCCCGCTGCCCAGGCGCGGCCCCGACGCCCCCGCGGCGGGGGCTCCCCGCCCGCCCCCCGCCGTGACGCGCGGCCCCCCCGGGCCTCGCCAGCGCCGCCGCCCGGCCGCGACACGGAGCGGGGAGCGCCCCCGGGACCTCCGGCTCCGCTCCGCTTTGCGCTGCCGCCGCACGGAGCGGCTACGAGCGGGGAGAAGCCACCCTGCGGAGCTCCCAGTGCTCGGCGCGAAGCGTGCCCGGCGCCAGGAAGCAGCGCTGGGAGTAAGGGAGGCGGTGCGGAAAGCTGGACCCGAGCTCGGGCTGAAGGAGGCTCCTTGCTCAAGTCACTTCCCCGCTGGTGCGGCTGGGAAGGGTAAAAGGGGGAAAGGAGGGAAGGATACCTGCGGGGCAGCGCACAATCTGCTCTCGTGGCTGTTCTGCACCTCAACACTTCTCCTCTCCAGCCCTGAACTTGGCTCAGTCCTTGGCAAGAAACAATCCCCCCCCCCCTCCCAACACACTCATCGATTATATTTAATGACTCTCCACCCTAAAGCACCTGATCTAAATTTGAAGTAGAGATTGTTGGCTCCAGCTGAAGCTCCCATCCCAATGACCAGAATCAGAGAGGGAGTCGCACCTGATCCAGTTTTACTGCAGTTTGCCCCAAGCCCTAGCTGCTGTAAAGCCACAGGATCCCCCCTCATCACATCGGGTTTGGTTCTGCATAATGTAGATATAGGTCATCTGAAAATACTAGCCTGTACATTTGGATAAAGTAGGATTGATTAAAAAAAAAAAAAAAAAAAAAAAAACACAATGCCTTTCTTAGGGAGCAGTTGCACTTGTGCACACTTACAATGGTATGATCAGAGTATAGCACTGCTGCCTAATTATTAATTTAGTAAGATCACTGAAAACAGCTGCTCCTGGCTGTAAGTAAGGCATGCACTCCAGGAAATCTCTGGGGTGGTCATTCCAAAAGCATCTCTCCTAAATTCATCTCCAGTAGCTTTAGTCCAAATATAACTTAGTAAATTCTCATTTTCATCTAGGGTGTTGTGTTATTAGCACCGCTTTTAGCCCTGATGCATGGCGACACGCACATACACAGTATACTGCTACGTACACGTTATGTATCCGCAGCACCAAAAACAGGAGGCAACAGCACATCCTCAGGTGAAGGCACAGCCTTCTATCCCATCCTGATAAAATCATTTTTCTGCATAGCTTTACTCTGATTTAAGATGAAATGTCTTTCCATGAAATACAAGTATACATCCAATTCATGTTAGCTTAGCTATGTTTGTGCTTATCTAATAATAAATCCAGGGTCTATCTATACACAAAACTTAATTGAATCCAACTGAAGTTTTACTCAAGTTTCCAACCTTAAGCTGAACTGGTGCATAGCCTTTAATGTCTATACAATCTCAATTCATCAGGCATAGGTTCTCAAACAGACAGGTAATTAGCTTAAGTTAAATTACCACAGGTACAAGCAAAATTTTGGCTTCAAAGCATAGCTTCAAGCACACCCTGAACTCTGTTATGGGCAGACACTGCTCTCACCGTCTCTATCTTGTTCTTCTGTGAGCCACAAACACCCAAAGAGCCCACAGGCACTACTGCAAGTAACACCCAACTTGCTCCAAATCAAGCTGGTTGCGCCGTAGACCAGCACTGTGCCCAAATGGTCACACTGTCGGAGAGCATCAGTTATCTCACAAACAGTTTCAACTGTTTGTATCAGAAAATGTTAGACAGGATGGACAAAAAAAAAAAAAAAAAAACATTCTTCCAGCCAACACTATTCTCACACTTCCTCTAGTGGAAACGCATCATCTTCGTCACCCAAAAAAAATCTGATATTCTGATATGATCTTGTTGGAAATATAAATAGCCAAAAGGCATGACATTCAAATAAGACTTAAAGCTGTGTTCCTGAACATTCATAGCAGTTAAAAAAAAAAAAAAAAAGATGGCACTTTTACAAGAGGAAAGCGTTGTTCCTGGCAAGCTAGATGGATTTCAGCTCAAATAATATTCCTGTGAAAGATAGCTCTTGCACTCCCAGTTGGACGTTGAATGCTTCTTGATTGTGACCTAAATTTTTGTGATGTTGCTAACTGTGGTGCTAAGCTGCTAGTCCTTTCAGCCAAAAACCTTGTGGCACTTCATAGCTTGATGAAGTATTTTTGACTAGGCCCGATATCTCTCAGAGCAGTTGCGATGCTGTTTGCATCCCTTGGACGAAAGGCAATTACAAGTGCTAAGTGTTAGTTTAAGTGCAGCCAAACGGGGGGGCTCAGCCACCAGCAGAAATGCACACGCTAAAGAGCTGACCGTGCTCGCACCTGATAAAACACCTCGTACCTCATGGAATAGCACATCTTTGCTTTTCATAACTAATAAGGCTCGTCCTCAAAAGCCAGTTTCCAGAGGGGAACTTGCAATTCTCACGGGCCAAGCGTACTTTGCAGCCAGCAGAGGGCAATAATTCACAATAGCACTTACACCTAAATCCTGAGAAAAGGATGTGAGGGGATGGGAAATTCTGTATGAATACTGCCTGCCATTCTGTCTTGCCTACTGCCAAACAGTTTTAATGGACTGTACGGTATCAGTCCAGCGGGTTAGGAGTGTACACGTTAAGCTGTATTGCTATGTAAGCAGCCAACAAATCCAGCAGAATGAGGCCCTGCAAAAAGAAACTCTGCTTCACTACTCTGTCATGGAGTGCTACCTACTGCTTTTTTAATTTCCAAGTGCATGGCTAGGTAACGTCTGATGATTGTAAAGTCTAAATTAAGCTTTTCAACTGATTAATCCATTAGGTGGATACAAGATGTGCCCTTGGGTCTGCACTCTGAACACTGCCATTTCAATACCCAAAGGAGTAAAATTATTTCCAGCTAAATGCATCTGGCTAGCACCACAACAGAAGATGTGCCTGTCTTCTAGTCATCTATGTAACATAGCGTACATTGGTTTCAAGTGCAGCCTGAGTGAATCCATACAACCAAGTTAAAAGGACATGGATTTTTATCTGCTCCCACGAGCATAAAGATTTAAAGCAATAGTGCCTAAAGGTGACAGCAAAGGACTGTCTCTTAGTCCCCAAATCAATGTGTTGTATCATTGACTCACGCTGTTTGACTTTGGAGATCTGACAGACTCCACGTGCCTCCCATTTTCCTCCTGGAGAGGGGACTAATGACACTTACCTGCCTCCCAGGGCTCACACGGTGCATGCTGACAACTGCAGCCTCCTCCAAGATGAAATCTGTCTTACATGCGCCAAGAATTCCTGCAGTCCTCCATCATTAGGTCCTGCCTCCTCCTTCATCTGCACATACACATCTCAGAGAACAGCAAGTTTACAGACATAACAAAGTGCTTTTTCCTTTGGGAACTCGTTACCAGAGCTGCTGAAGCAGTCCTGCCACATAGCTGTTGAGTCATCTTCTGGACTAGGCCCTTGCCTGGAATTGCTATCCCATTCTTGGCATAGCACTAGGGTATCTTTCACTACCGTGCTTGATGCCACGTTGTGATCGAGTATCACACTTCATCTATCATATTTGGGGAACACTCTTGTTTTCCAGCAGAGAAGTAGGTCAGATCGGTACCACTGCAATACCAAGGTATCAGTACGCAAAGAGTCAGCTTAGCACATGGGTTTTGTGGCACGCTCAGTGCTTTGCATCACACTCACCATGCTGCAGAAATTCGGCTTTAAACAAAAGGTGCTGTAACATCACGAAACGTCTGCTTATGCTTTCCTTCTTCACTAGTCCCTTCTGCCTTTCACTTAAGTCTCCATCAGAACCTCTCTTGTTTTAGCAGTTCAACTGTCTTTGGGGTGACTGAATTGAGAGGATAAAAAGGATTTAAAGAAATCCAGTAAGTCCTCTGATAAGCAATCTATTATTCTACAAGCTACAGAGCACTCAAATAGTTAAGAATCCAGCCATTTAATTGATACTTGTTTCTGCAGCTGTGCAATATCTCCATTTCCCAAGAGGGCTGTTTCCAGTTGCTGCTCAAGGTTTCTAACAATCAAATGGATCAATTCTGCAGATACCTTAAGGCTGTGTGTTAAGTAAGAATGATGTTTGTGGTGTGCACTGGGTGGGCAAAGAGGGTGGAAAAAGAGAAATTCTATTCACCAGAACATGTTAGCATATTTTGTTTTAAACACTGGACATTTATTTAGAGACTTGGAGCCCATACATTATTGAATAATTTTAATTTATCACATCCAAATATAATAGGCAAATATATAATACAATAAATTGCATTTGTACACATAAATACAAAATTTGAGGTAGGGCCTCAAGAATAATGACTTCTTAAATGAATAACATACAGCATTATAATATGCACTACATGAGATATATATGGTGCACCCTTTGTAACATAATGCATCTTCTCCACACATAGGTAATGAAAAAAATAAATGACCTGGTTAGGGTACAAATCTTTATCCATAGGCAGCAGTACCCTATAGAATGCCTGTAAATATATATATATATTTATATATGACATTACGCAAGTAATTAAGATTTAACCCATCAGCGATGGGTCTGTAATAAAGTGCCATAGGACACAGGGAGCAAATTCTCAGCTGGTATGAACTGTCACAGCTCCAAACCAAACTGTGACAATTTAGACCAGCTAAGCATCCACCTTACAAGGTAATACTACATAATATAAATGACAGATAACAACGTGTTTTAGTCGATCAATAATTTTCTTAACAATGGAAGATAGCTATAAGGCAAATGGTTACCTGATGATGTATTTAAATATTATGGGCAAATAATAATATTGCAAGCTATAAGGTCCAGCCTGGTTCTCGCATTAAGTTAAACCCATCAGGAAAACCTTCTCTCTTTGGTGATGGGCTGCCTGAGGGTGATGAAGGCAGAAACCACAAATACCCCTACCCTCCCCCCTTGAATCATCAACCTGAGTCCCTCTGGAATATCAAGATCTGACCATTTGACAATTATCTTATGTGCACGCCATTTAACTACAAACTAAGAAACAAGTGTCTCGTAATCATGCCAGATAGAACAGCGTTACTAGCAAAACAGAGGCACGTTTTGGGAGGCCACTTGCCAAAAGATCCTGCAGCCTGCAACCCACACTGTTCATGTCTTTCTTTGACAGCAAGAAAAAGTGGAGCTGCAGAATAAGAAACCAATAGGAAACCAATCTTTGTCACAAATAAGCAATCGCTTTTACCATAGGCAGCAAGAAATCATATTATCCATACAACTGTACATATATTCAAAAAGGCCAGAAGATACCTAAAATAAATTAGCATTTGGAATTTCATGGTACGGGATAGCCACAGTGTATCGGAAGCGATGATCTTCAGTGCTGAGGCACATCTAATGTGGTCAGTGGAGCAGAACCTAATCAAAAGAATACTTTGACCCAATTGAAACATATAAAGACAATCCAAGTCTTTCTCATTTAAAGGTCATTTTGTTAAACCCTTCTTTTGGGAACAAAGTGCTGCCATGTCTAGCTGAAACACAGGTTTTGAACATTGCATATTAAAAACACTAGGAAGACCCCAAAGGATTTGAAGATGGCAAGCATTTGCATTAAGTGTGATCTTTAATGCATACAACAGCGCGTCTTAGCTCATCCAGAAGTTCAATTTCATTTCAAAGAAAAAATATGCAACATAAGTAATTCTCACCAAATTTGAACGTTTTACTCACAAGTATCTGCAAGTACGTACATCACATTTTTACTAATATGGCTTTTTCCCCTCCTTTTTATTTGTAAAGATCTTTACTGGTACTTAATTAATTACTAAATTTATTTTTAGAAAATTATCAAAGCACATGCAAACTTTCCTAGAACATAGTAAATGAAGTGCATTCCCAAACTGCAAGGTTACTTCTCATTTAAAGAGGCCACTGCTGGTTCATTTAATCTCAATGCTTGGATTTGGCCAGTAAAATACTTTTTAAGAAGTCTAGCACGAAAAAAAAAACTTCTGTTTTTAACATACTATAAAAACCTCGTATTTTCTCTGACTTTTAAATTCATTTCTCCCCCTTCTCCAAATATTTTTGCAAGCCCAGTATTGAACGTTAAAGCTAAAGACAAAAATCAACTAAAAAAAATCACTCATCTGCTTTCAGAGTTTCTAAGTCAGGACTAATCCTGTACTCATGACTTAACTAACAATCACAGGAACAACACTTAAATTAAAAGCAAGCATGTTCATTACCTAACTCATGGAAAGCAATTCAATTCTTCATATGCATTCCATTTTGCTAATCCAAGCCAAAGGAAAGATATCATAACCTAGCGGTACTCCTTCAAGTGATACCACTGTTACACTTAGCGCAGACAGTAACTGACATCCTTATACTGAGGCCATTTTATTGCAAGTAGTTAATTCCAGTTCCAATTCATGTCCTGAGACAAAAAGTTACAAAGTTAAAAGGATTCAGAGCTATTAGGTGATTTGGATGCTTTATTTTTTCTTCCCCTTTTTAAGAGGAACAAACCTATACATGTATTACTTTTCATCACAAGAGTAACAAAAGCAAACTAGACTGGACTCCAAATACCAAACCAAGATGCTAGGTAAAATTGGTAAAGAGGCCTGAAGCTATTTATCCTGACAAAAACGTCTAATTGCCACTGCTCACTGACTTAGGTTCCTTCCTTCACCCAGAGGAACGCCCTCAGCCCCAATTAGATGTGGGGGCCAAATTTCCATTCTGTCAGAGTATGGCTTCTCACACCTGCCTCTGCCAGGAAAATAAGAGGCAGAAGTAAGAATATTAACACCCTTATTAAAATAGCTGGCAAAGCCAAAACAAGGGGGCAACAGCTTTAAGGCAGAGAAGCTCACAAAAGGGTCCTATCTTGCTGCCCCTCGAGACGAGGAGCGGCAGAGCCCCTGGGGCAGAAATTCAGGGGCCAGCCCAAACTGTGGCAAAATCCACGCTTGTCTCGCTCAGTGACAACCCCTGACAGCACTCCACTTGTCCTGCATGAGGATTAAAGGTCTCCAGCAGTGCCTATAATTGGCAACACTAATTGCCCCGTGAAAGAGGAAGTTCAGCAAAATGATTAATATATTTAATATACATATATATATACACACACCGAGAAAATAAGTTCATTTGTGGAAGTATTACGTTAAGGTTTAGTTTTTGCTTTGTTTTCTTCAACAGGATGAAACAACACAGCTACTGATCTACAGACACACATTAACTGAGGATTTACCTGAGACCCTGTAATATGCAGACAGACAGACAAAAGAACGGGATAGAAACAGTTCCCTGAAAGGAAAGAACATTCATTGGCTACTACAATGTGTGTGGGGAGGGAAAACAGGCTAAAACTACTCTAAGCTCACCATCTCTACACTGGTCGATAAGATACTTATAGGGACATAAAACATCACTAATACACACTACGTGAACACTGATCACTGGTAAAAAATATCGTATCTGTATGTATAGGATCTAACAAGATCGTAAAGGTTACAGTTGTGCCAATTATTGAAGATATATTTTTCTCCCTCATTCTAGTGCATTTACAATAAAATGGGCTAATTTCCTATTCAGATAAATAAATGTACTCCTAAAAAGCTCTATTTTTACTCTGCCCAGTAAGTAACAACTATTTGAGTCTAACATTCATATTGCCACGTCTGATGACTAAAATGTAATGATTTAGAATGTCCTGTAACTCTTCAGCGTTACCATGGCTGTATAACACACTGTCCTCTCCCTCCAGCCTTGCATTTTGTATATCTAATGCTGCATCCATGTTGATGTTAATTGTTGTGGTTTTTTTTGTTTTGTTTCTATGTGATGAAGGTGTTCTAAAGGGAAAAACATAGAAAGGAAACTATGTACATTCCAGGGAATACCAGTTGGAAGAATTTATGTGTTATATATATAATATATAGACAACTGGGATTCTGCTATTTCCCCGTTGGTTGAAAGAGAAGAATACATCTAAAGGTCGCATAAAGAGTGGAGAATGAATGGGGAGTCACAAGGCTGAACAGCACATCTAACTTCTAATAACTGTTGTCAGGTGGTAACCAGACTACACTTACCACTGTAAGAATACAAAGTTAGGCACAAATTATATGATGGCTTCTTGAGGAGATACTGTAAACAAAAGCAGAGAAACAAGGAAAGCTATGTTCAAAAGTATCGGAGTTCAGTGAGTAAAACCGCAGTAGCACTTCAAGTACATACAGTTTGCCAGCGGAGCCAGGTTTTGGACACGTGGTGTAACTGAGTCATTTACAATGAAAATGACAGATACCAAATTACAGAAAGAAACGTATGACAGTACTTTCAACTGATGCCCATAATCCTGTCTGGCATGCTTTCCAAACCACTTCTAGGTTCAAATACAGTTTACCCCAATCTCAAGTGATTTTTTTCCTAAACTTTGTTGTTGTTGTGTTTTTTTCCTACTCAAAAACAGCAAACAGACCATTGTGTTTCTGTTCTGATCCCACATATTGCCTACTGGCATGCTATTTAGAGGGTGTCTGCTAGTTTAGACAGCAAGTCCTCAAAGTTAGTATAATTCATACTTAGACAAGAATTGTGTGACAATGAGTCAACGCCTGCTGTCAGTGTAGACAAAGTGACTCCACTTATTGCAACAGCCTCATGCTGGACTTACACCAGGGCTACAGGCGATCTCCTCCTGTGCTCACTTTCATCCCATCTGAGAGCTGAACTTCCCTTTGATTATATTGGTAACAAAAACAAAATCCTAGTCCCATCTTTGGCTGTTACAAGGATGCTTGTGTGAAACAGGTCAAATTTTGCACATAATTTCCTTTAAAGTTCTGTTGTTTTTTGTTTATTTACATATAACCTGAAAAATACTGGGACATAACCCATTGTGCAACATGCTTTTGCTATTTCACACAAAACAGAATGAGCATCACCTGCACGTGGAAGTGGTCTGGCTAGGTCTCCCTATGGCATGCAACAGTCAGTCTTACTTTCCTAAGCAGCCACTTTCAGGCACTGTGGAAAAAGAAGAAAAAAAAAAAAGGAAAAAATGGCAGAAAAATAAATAAGAAAAAATAGCTGAAAAGGCTGACAATGTTATTGTCACCAATGTAATAATTATTAGCATTGGGTCCCCAATTCTATATCCTTCACTGGCAGTTTAAGTCCCAGGGAAGATGTTCCCAGTGGATCGATCATATTCATATAACGTTCACCACGGTGCTTGGCCAAAAACGGGCCCCAGTCTGGCTGCGGAGAGCACACCAACTTGAGTCGCTGCAACGTTAGAGAGAGAAAGAAGAGTCTCATTTGAAGTTACAAAGCAGAATTACAGTGCGGAAGAAATAAGAGGAGGCTCATTTGAGGTTATTGACAACGACCCTGCAATGCTCCACTGCTCAGTGTTTGTTTTGCGCAAAGTTTGCAAGATTAATAGAGGATAAAGTGCCCAGATTTTAATTATACATTCTCCCTCGCACCATATGAGGGGAGTTCAGACCTACTGCTGCAGATTGCCAAGCTCACTTGCTGAAGGACATGTGCACAATTACTTAGCCCAATCGCCTAAGCAGTGGGTAACTGCATTAAAATAATTGGATTTCTGTTTAGCATATTTCCCAGAAGTATACAAACGACCAAAAAGTAGTACAATGCTATGAATGAACAAAAATTTTAATTTTGAGATGACAAACTATTTCCCTTCTACTTGCAGCAGAAAGAAACAGAAGAACGTTAATCTGGCAAACATCCAAAACCTTCTCATCTTTCCACTGATTTCTTTATTGTATATATAATATGATTGGCTATTTACAGATAAAAAGGAAAGAAAACATATTTCTGATGACTTAAGCGGGAACAATTATAGGTTTATTACCTAATAAAGTGAATCAGGCCTCTCTATCAGTTATTTTAATCTCAGTTTAATTACCAGTTTGCAACCCTTCCCTCCCAGATCAACCATAATAATTTTATGCAGCAGACTCCATGTTCAAAAAATACCGGGCTACGGATGAAATAACTGCAGCAAAAGCCCTTTCAAAAGAGATCAGACTTTTTGGTGTTTCTTTGGGCGCACTACTGGAGGGACAGTAAATAAAGCACCCGATTTTTTGAGGCATTACATACTCCCATCCCACACAGGTAAACTGGAAGATCTGAAGGAGAGCTATTTATCTCAGTGAGAGAGACTTGTGAACAAGCAAGTCTAATTTCATATTAGCTCATTTCCAGTAGGAGTAGTTATCTTTCCTACCCTATGCGCTCCAACGTTCTCTACACAAGGGCTGAAAGGCCCTTTAGACAAGTGGCCTTGTTGCCTAGTGCCAACTGTGTACTTGGATGCTCTCCCCAGGGTGTCCTGCCACTTAATATTAAACTCCTTTGCTCTGTATGAAATGGAAAAACACGATCTTCTCCCTTAGGCATTGTAGCGTGACATATTGAGAGACCAAGAGATTATTCTATTTTAGTACATTTTCTCTCCTTTCCATCTTTTAGGCGTATAACAGCCCCGATGGATTTTGCAGGAGAGCCGAACTGCAAAAATGGCTATGAAAAGGGGAGATGGCTGGCTGTTCCTTATCCCAAGGAGGCAACAGCACAAGCAGCATGCAGTGAGGAGAGGACACAACTGAGAAAGCCTCTAAGGCCACAAACAAAAGCACTGAACTTCTTCAGATGACAAGGTGAAGGCAACGAAGGAGTGAAATGCTGGTGTGGGAAATGGGAAAGACTTTGCACTTCTACAGCCCACAAGGAACTGGGGAGTCAGCAGGATGGGAACACTTGTGGAGAGGCGGTGGTGGCAGCAGCTGCAGTGCTGGGCACAGAGAAACAGAGCAGAAGGGGACTGCCATGCTTTTGGAGTGGTGGGGGGAAGCAGCAGGGACCTGCCACATACCACAACACAAAAATAAAATGCCACCTGTTTTTTTGTTTTTCAAGCCCAGGTGCCAGAGAGGAACAGTTTATTCAGTCAGCTAAGGTTTATAATAACTCGTTTGAGCTGTAGAGCATGTCTTTTCATCTTTCTTTTTCTTGGATGTCATGAAGCGGCACAACCTTCTGTAATGCCCGCCCCCTGTGTGACTTTGCAAAAAGGCTGGCAAAGCTAGGAAAACAACTTTCTTCCACTGGCACCATTTTCAGGGCTTATGAAATTTGTGACTCCTTTTAGTTCTCATAAAAGCAATCACTTAACAATTTAGGAGCATTTTGTTGAGGAATAGGGAATAGAAGGTCTGCATTTTAAATCAACCAAGCATCTTTTTGTAACACAATAACCAGCTTACCAGAAAGCAATCTTAGCACCATTAGCCATTCAATATTACAAAAATCAATGTAAAATAAAACAGACAGTCTCCTGTGACCATATTTTTGAGCAGCAAAAAGACATGAGAATTACCTCAATAAATTTGCCCGGGGCTAGATGCATTTTTATCACAAACATAACTGGGATCCAAATAACTGAGCAGGCCAGCATCAGCCATCCAAGCACCATGGACCAGCCCGGGTAGTGGTAAGCTCCGTAAGTCATTGGTTCCCACTGGTAGAAACTGAAGCAAAGAATAAACTGGAAACAAGGAAGGAAAATAAATGTTTGAGTAAGGAAAACAAACCTGCTTTGCAGCACTTGGTAGGCATTCACGCACATAACTGCTCTATGTGGAATATAGATAAAAGTACACGCACCTAGGCAGGGTGCTCTCACAAACTGTAACAAACAGGTCTGAGACTGAATCTAATGAGCTTTGTGGAAATCCTGCAAAACCCCACAGAAATTACCGCATTTATGGCAGAAGAATTGAAATTAGAATCTTGCCCCTAGAGTAACAGGCTTTATTACATGGTCTATTGGCAGTTTTACCTAATGTGATTATGCTAAGTTAGTCCATTTCATTTACAGTATGAATAGCAATACATCTGCTTACATTTGTGCATAATTCAGTAACTTTTGGGAAATGCCTGTGCTTACAATAATTGCACACAGAAGATTTATAGTAGTATAGCTAGGTGAAGGCATATATAAAATGATCAGTTTTATTTCCAGAGATGGGGAGTAATTGAAAGTCTAATATTGGACTATACAAATGTATCAAATATTAGCTTTACAGAGGCCATAATAGAAAAAAAAATATTGCTCGGGTTTGCTTTGTCCATTTCCATTCCACAAAAATTGAATTATGACTGATCAGTCTCAAATTATTTCTTACCCTAAGTAATATTTAGTGAACACTTGGAAGGAACAGCAACAGAACATGCAAGCTTGACTGGACCTCGTCTGCTTTCCAAATTTGCTTTCCGTAAGAGACAACATAATTTCCTATTCCCTAGTTGTGATTACTGGCAGTAGCTAAGCGTGCAAGTCTGATCAGTAAAGCAACCAAGTAATTTGCAGAAAAGCCTTATAATTCCCCTCAGAACTCTAACAATGGTTCTAAGACAGGATCTTGAAAACAGCCATTGGAAGAAATCAGAGAAAAAAACGTGCACACATCTCCATTTTAACAAGGCCCTCGAGAAAACATATGTTCCCATTTACACTGTGCTAATACTATTGATTAAACTGAGCTACACCTTCAAACTTTTCAAAAATGGATTCAGAAACTATACCTAAATGTTGTCAAAATCAAAGAACAGTCACCAATACATAGGTAAGGTTGGTCTATCTGTTTTTCACACACGACACCACTGCACTTGAGTGATGACAATGAACTGGTCAAGAAAATCTGCACGGGAAGGTACAATACCTGCATCAGGGCTGCTGAAGAAATTCTTCTCAGCACAGGAAGTTTCTTTCCCTCACAACTCACGATCTTGTTGAGTTAACCAAAAGAAACCAGTCCCTTCACACAGGTATTCCTTTTTCAGTGTCCAGAAGAAATTATGTCATTCTTAAATTATGTCACTTGAAAGAAGTAAGCACCTATCCAAGCAGCTAGTTTCAGGATAGATGGCTATCCTGAAGTAAAAACTTCCCAACAAGATCTGCTGAAGAACCACACACACACACAGGAGCTTTCCAGCACGTTACGCTGAGGCACAACTTCTCTGCACAGTGACTACAAATGATTAAACTACAAAATCTGTCACTGTTTTGCCTCTCTACCTCACCCAGCTGACATTGTATTCATCATTGTTTTGAAATGCCAGTCCTTTCAGGAGCTCTAGTATTTGTGCTTATCTTGCATATTTATGTCTATGAATACCTGTATGAAATATAACTCCCTGTACAATGAGGTTTCTGTGAGAGCTGAATCATGCTAGTGCCACAACATGGCACGCAATCAAGGCCTGTATCTGCATTTAGAAATGTGAAGGGAACGCTGTGTCAGAGCACCACACGGGAACCACACGGCTGTGACACTTCGAGGACTCCCGGACCTGAGGAAAACGTACCTGGGTAAAATCAACACCGTGCCTTCTTTTAGATTCAGTGGAGCCCTAGATCTGAGGTAAAGCATTATTCTAGACTGCGATGTGGAAATAACACATCTAACCCCAGACTGATACACCTGTTATCGCTGCTTTCCGCCCCGCTGTGTCCCTGCGGGCCGTGCCCGTGCCGCGGCCGCTTCCCGCAGTGGCGCAGCGCCACCGCCCGGCCCCGCCGGCTGCAGGCCGCCTCGGGCCCGGGCCTTGGGAAAGGAAAGCTCCTTCTGAAAAAGGACGGGGGGAAAGAAGAACAAGGAAACTGCGGGGATGATTTACAGTCGTTATTAAGAACGTAAATACTTCGACCTCTGCAGAAATAGCTCCATCTTCGCAAATAAAACCACGTCACTCGCATTGCCACCCAAGTCTTTCTAAAGCATGTCTCTTAGATCAGTTAGAGTCCATAAAATATTTTTCCTAACTAGGATTATATGATTCAACCTGAGAAGAGAAAGGAAGATTATGTCAATGTGTCTCTCCCTCCTCACATATTTAAGTGTGTGTGTAAATATAACTATGTATAATAAATACACACACTTAAATATTACAATATTATAAATATTATAAATATTTCATAATTATAATATGAAATTATAGTTAAATATGAAACATGAAATTATATGAAAATATGAAATTATAATTAACTATGAAATTATAATGAAATATTATAAATATTTCAGGGGTGACCTTATTGCTCTTTACAGATACCTTAAAGGAGGCTGTAGTGAGGTGGGGGTTGGCCTGTTCTGCCACGTGCCTGGTGACAGGACGAGGGGGAATGGGCTTAAGTTGCGCCAGGGGAGTTTTAGGTTAGATGTTAGGAAGAACTTCTTTACCGAAAGGGTTGTTAGACATTGAAACAGGCTGCCCAGGGAAGTGGTGGAGTCACCATCCCTGGAGGTCTTTAAAAGACGTTTAGATGTAGAGCTTAGGGATATGGTTTAGTGGGGACTGTTAGCGTTAGGTCAGAGGTCGGACTCGATGATCTTGAGGTCTCTTCCAACCTAGAAATTCTGTGATATGCAGACATGTACAGAGCAATCAAAAACTGCAGGCACGCAATGGCACGCCATCCCAGCACGTTGTACAGACAGGGAAAGACTACAACAACAGCATTTGGAAACTTACTGTCCCTCTCTACCAAAATGTCATAACTTAACCTCTATTTTATCCACTACAAACATGCAAGAACACGTGCAAATGCATGTCTATCCATGCACGCTGTACCCAAGAGGTCATTACTACCATTCAGAAACATCACAGACATCCAAGAAACAACATCATCATCTTAGAAGAAGACATCACAATGTCTTTGCTTACTGTTAAGATAGTAGGAGTCACGAATGCCCAACAGACTCGCCAGAATTTACTTGGCTGGAATCCAATCATCATTTCTATATCTTCACAAAATCTTTGCAATCCTGTAGGCAGCGAACGTAAATGCAATTAGGGGGGTCAAAGCAAACAGCTGCAATTTGCAACACAGCTTTTGTGATTTTTCTTGTGTCTAATTACAATAACAAATCTGGATATGTTTGTTGAAAACTTCAATGAAAGATCTAACCACAAAGTAACAAATGACACCATTATATTGGGAACCATTCTGATAAAATATTTACTTCCTATGGAGTAAAAGTAAAAATAAACATGACAATCTTTTACACAGAAATTACATGTATTACATACTGAGTGCATCTCAGACTGAGGTACTGATAGCACATGCTGGTTAGCTGCAATTCTATGCATCCTTGTTCTATTTCACTGGAAAGAAAACCCTTATTAATTTTAAAATAAACTATTTATGAGCTACATACACTATACATGGCCATTAAAAACTGGCAGCTGCATACCTGTGTCAGCAAAGGCAATATCTGAGTTTCTTTATACCAACTGTGTGACTAGAGTATGATTATATCACTTAACGTTGGAAATTATAGTGTCCTATTATTTTTCAACTGATGTTTAAGCAATACTTAGAACTATTAGAGAGCACCAATAAATATTTAAAATTCTATTTAATGTTATTTGATTAAATGGATTGACTGACATGTTAATTCTTCCCATTATCGTATTGATTGTACCTGTGTAGTTACTGGAGTTAATAAAACTCACAAGATTGGAAAATGCTGTTTCAGCCATTTCTGCAGTTAGCTCCTTATTTATGCCATGTGACTGGAGAAGGCATGCTAGCCCTGCTGCTGCCATTGCCCACCTAACAAAAGCCAGCCTACTTTTCAGTCTTCCTCTGCATAGCTGTTTAGGTCAGTGGCCCCTACTCACTAGCATATCCATTAGTGATTTCCCCAAAAGTAATAAAAATGAAATGGAAGCCTGCTCCAGCTTTTCTAACAGTGATGAGAAGCGGGAAGTCTGGGGTTCAAGGCTGAGCTCGCCCATCACACAAACATTTCAAACCCGGCCCAATTTTATTTGGTAAAGCAGGTGATTGTCTCTGCCATTTAGATTTTACACAGCATTATACTACAGCCTTTCATCTAACTTGTGTGATGTGGAGACAGGGATGGAGCTTAAATATTCAGGAGAAGTCATTCAATAAGGGAGGAAATACTCGGAAGAGAAGTAATAAACCGCTTTATGTTCTTAATGCCCTTATAGTCAGTCACTGCAGCTGCTGAATTTAAGAAGGGATAATCCCCAGGCTTGATCCACCTAATTTTGAAGCCTTTCTGTTGATACGGAAAAGAAACGAAACTATCCACCTGACTGTTCTAAGAATTAAGAATTGATGAACCACCACATAAAAAGTAGCAACGACTCCATGTTCAGCATCTTCTGATGCACCTTTAAGAAAACAACAGGGTTTTGTGCTGCTAGGACAGCCCTAGAACCGAGCTTGAGGGGTGAGCACAGAGTAAGCCAGCATAGGCTGGTATCATGCAAGAAAAAAGCTAAGAACTGTGCTATTTTAAGAAATAGATGAGAAAAATCCCGAAGTTAAATAATAAGGTGGTATTGCAAGATCTGAATTTGGGGGAAGAAGTACAACCTACAGTGGGTATGAGATCAGAAAATTAATCCAAAGGGACTATAATACTTCTTCTCCCTCCCACCCCTGTGTCCCTTCTTGCTGTTGCTGCAACAGAGGTATACCTCATTGGATGGCCTTCTGCCTTCAAAATTTGAGCAAGTTCTGTGCAGATCTGCACAGATTTATCTGAAACTCCAAAAGAAAAGATAGTTCCTTCTTGGAAATGTTGGCAGATATTGAGCTTCAGGTATTTTTAAATATTAGCAGTTCACGAACCAAATGTATGTAAACAGATACAGAGATTACACAGTAGGCATCTATTTCTCAGTGAATGATTGAAAGCAGGTTCAGAAGTTCCACAGAAAAATCCAAAGGATGCTTCAGTTAATAAAACACTGATTAAATCTTAGTGCATCTGGTTTCCCTCTCAGATCAGTCAAGCCTGTTGAATGACTTTGGTAAATAAACAATGTGATATTCCGTATTTCAGTTTCCACTCTCAAAGGTAGGATGATGCATTCAAAGTGCTACAGATATAAAATCCATTAAAAAGTGGAATGCAAGCTAAGACAGACATCTACTTCAATATTCTGCCACAGGTAAAACATTGAGAATTACTAACATACTGTCTACATATACACTGCAGCCGTTACCACTCTGATGACGAACCTTCCCAACAACAGACTGTCAAAAAACAGGTCTAGAAGGAGCACAAATAAAGTTAAGGTAATGCATTTTCAATTTCAAGCAGTTTCCTACTGTGTTTCACTCAAGCACAAAGATCTCTGTATTTAGCTTTGCGTTGCAGATTGCAGTAGTGGGAATTATGCTGATGATTAAATTAATACCCAGAGCTGTAAGCTATTCTTTACCAATCATACATCATAATCTAAACAATCGGAGAATAAACATCTATAGCAGCATGTGAAATAAAGAACTGCATTTGACTGGATAATGTAGCACTGACTCTACTGAAAAATAAGTGATTGCAAGAAAATAACCAAGTGTGCCTCTTTTTAATTTAAAAATCTCAACCAGCTCAGCAAGCAGAACATGTAACAAGAGCTAAAGACAGATTTATTTCATCATAAAAGCGCCTGCCACTATTATGCCAACCTGCTTGCTACGAAGAGTACAAGCGTACGGAGAAAGGTGTCAGTGGAGTGTAAAACAAGCAATTGTCTGAGCTTGAAAATATATGATACCAATTTTAAGCACTGCTTGAAAAAATAGAACAAGAGCAACAGCTTCATTTGTATTTGCAACATGCAAATCACAAATATACAAGCTGTATATAGATTTAATATGTTAGAAGTAGCTATGATACATTAGTCAAGTGGATAATGACTGTAAAAATAAATCCTTCATTTTTCGTGCTGAGAGTCAAAGCTCTTTAGTGTGACAAAAGGTTAATTCCAGGTAATAATCTTTGAAATCATTTAGATCAAAGACTTGACTGACATCTGTTGATTAACAATCAGCTGGTACACAAAGCACAGAGACAGTGATTGGCAATTCATCAAATCTTTGCCATGTCTGATCATTTTAAAGTAATATGTAATTAAAAAAGAACTCCTCCACTCAAGTCCCTCCTTAGTAGTACTGTAACTCTTCTGTATTATGTTAAGGTTTTCATTCAAATTCATATTTTAAGCAATATTGAATGTGTTGGACAAACAGGGCACTACCCAGAGCAATTTTGTTTGCAAATCTAATAAAAAGTTGTTCCGTAAAGGCAGGTTTGTAGTTATTCTGCCACTCAGTGTTCAGAGGAGGAATAGAGCCTTCCTATTTATCTTCATACTTATTTAAGAACATGCAGAACAAAGAAATTCCACAGATTGCTTTTGAGCTATTTAACAATATTCTGTGCAAGGAATTTTTACCTTGTACCGTGATGGCAATGGCTTAGAGGGAGTGATCGTTTTGACATAGACTAAACAACGCTATTGACAACGCTGCCAAAGAAGAGTGACATCAAGTGCTTTTAGAACAGCATTGTTCAGGCATGCTGTCAGCAAATGGAGAAGGAGGAAGGAGAAAAATAAATAGAAACACCCCAAACCCTTAACTCTTCCTGAGCATTCCCACTCACCATCCCTTACAGAACAGCATTAATTTTAAGCACGCTGGGAAACTGGTCAGAACAGTAACCAACCTAATCCATCAGAGAACACATGCCCCAGTGATATTTTCACAGAACAGGTAAATGCTAAGCCTCCTGGAAACTGGGAGGAAGGAATGGGACAATTGTGCCTATCTTCATGGAAACTGAAGAACAGAAAAGCAATGCAGCTTGCCAGTAGCAATTTCCAGACCAGTCTTTCTGCTCTATAATCCCCAAAAATCTGTCTCTCCACTTCAGGAGATATCTCAAAGCATTACACTCAGGTCCTTTGAGTAGACTGTTTGAATGTAAAGCTGACAGCTGTTAGCAATATCATCTCACTTAGAGATGGGTTTAGAAGTGTAATCCGTCTGATCAAAACACTTATATTTCAGGGACCTAATAAAAAAAAAAAAAAAAATTAAATCAACCAAAATGTGAATGGTCTAAACTATATTTTTTTTGCTTTCTGTTTTGATCTTTTTCATTGTTTTGTAACATTCTCTCCCTAGGTCATACCTGAGGTACCTTTACAACCATTTGAGGCCACTCACTGATTGGATATCACCAGAGATAAAATACTCTACTGCATTTCCATAAAATTTGAGACAATGGGAAAGGATGGATTGCCTGTCCTTTTCATGTATTCATTCCTCAAGCAAGAGCAGCAGATGTTGCATGTTTTGAGTTATGCTTGATTTTTCATACATTTATATTAGAGTAGACTCCACAACATCAGTAGATATAAGTATCTAGTGCACAGGACTAAGGCCTAAGATCATCCTGATAGGTAAATATCTTCAACAAAAAATCTCACGGACTGTTTAAAACTAGCTGATAGAAAACATAATGTTCATTTCTGGCCATAGCAACAGCAGAGACAGCTTTATGTTTGTTTTCTCTAACGCCAAGGCTTAGAACTTCTTTCACTTTTGAAGGCAAGTCTTAAGTGACACCAACATACTCCAGACATAAATTAATAACCTGTTATGTAAGGAGATCACTGTATTATTTCCTACTACAATCATCCGAGATCACACATTTCCGAGAATCAATTTCCTTAAAGCACTGAGTGAGTTTGGGAACAGTCACCAACTAATACCAGCTGACACAGCTACAGTGGCATCAAAGTAATTGTACTGCTTTACAGTATTTGAGTATCCTCCTAAAAATTCCACGTATGTCAACATGGATTGATATAACTACAGTTACCACTGTGCATAATGAATCACTGAGTAGCAGTGTAGTGCATAGTCTTGACTTTGTGCTGTAAAGATGGGCTAAAGGAAAAACTGGTTGTGTACGTGGAAAATAAAAGTGTGAAAGAGCTCCTGGCTCAGTGTCACTAAATGTTTGGTCAATGCTTAGTATTTGCTAAGAATGTTCATATACTCTTAAAACATCGGCTTTACCTACTGATTGAAAAAGGACTTAAGTCTGTATAAATGGGTCTTTTGAATATATGCATTTAAAGGAATCCTATAGCAATGAAGTCCCATTATGCTTCCATTCAAAATCATGTTTCTGGATTCTCAGTTTTCTTAGTAAAAAAGAAAAATTAAAAAGAAACATTACATCTTTGCAAGATACCATCTACTTGACTATATGCTAAAATGCTACTTTGACATAGGTGGTCCAATAACATTATCCATTCTTACCATAAATATAGGAAACTCCAACAAGCTCAAAGATGGCTATGATGACAAGAGAATAAGAAGCTGCATAAGTGTCCACGAGCTGTAACATATACATTCCACCCTAAAGAAAAAAAAAGGAAAAAATAAACATTACTTATGAGGCATATCTGGCACCTCTCTCTACATATGTCCCCATATCCCTACCCTCTAGCTAGCACTAATGTAGGCAAAATGGACAGGAGCAGGACACAAGACTCTGTCCCCAAGTACACATCAGTCATTGATGGGACAGAGGCTCAAGCCACAGTGTTGTTGCTTCCTTCTGGCTGAATGATCGTCTAATCTTCTTCAGTCAAGTGAAGGAAGGAGTGAATCCATCCTAGGCTTTGGAACCACAAAGTTGGGCTGATAGGTGATGAGGTGAGACAAAGAAAGACAAAGGCAGAAAAAATGGATGATGAAAAGACTAAAAATAGAGTCTGTGCACATCCTCTTGAAATTGTTAAGTATTTACAGTGGTGGATGAACTAGAAGAAAAAAAGACAGCATTGACTATCAATGATAGATGACAATTTCATTATTAACTCCACAATTTTCCAGGACTATCAGTAAATAACCCCTCTGTACATATGAAGGAAGGCACCCAAAATTATTGTGCAGGTCTAGATGACGTATGAACTTTTGTAAAATGTGGATACCTAATTTATACAACTATTTTGGAGATGTTTGACTAAGGGTTAATTTTAAGAGACTCAGATTTTCAGAAAGATTTGAGCAACCAAATCTATTAAGTAGATCTCAGCCAGAGCGTCCACACACACAAAAAAAAGCTTTCAAACTCAGCTGGTGTCTTCACTCATTCAGTGCAATTCAGTTTACTATTTTGCAACTGCTTCTTGCAAAGGAAGGGAATGGCCACCAGAGGGGGACTGGGGACAGAAAGTGATGCTCAAAGGCAGTATCGTTACCTGAGTGATCATAGGAAATCCCATGATGAAAAAGGAAATGCAGCACCCAAGAGTGAATAGTGCCTTGTGCGTACGTAAGTATTTTGGAAATTCATCTGAAACAGAGGTCACTATAGTCTCGATAGTAGCAAACTGAAAGACAAAAACAAAAAGATTAATTTCAGCACACAATGTAAATGAAATGGTCCAGCTGGGTATGCTGCAGTGAGACAGGATTAAGAATCCTGGGTGTTAAAATGCTAAAATGCCAATGCCAAAGCTTCCCCCACATCTTTTTGGTATTGATGGTCTTAATTCAGTCTTCTCTTTGCAAATCACTTGACTGACCGCATGGAAAATTGTGAGCAATCTCATGATCTTCAGAACCAATAAATAGGAGAAGCAACAAGAAAAGAACAGGAAATGAAAGCAGTTTTACCATCGTGTCCAATCCAAGCGTCAGAAGCATCAAAAAGAAAATTATAGCCCAGAACGGAGAAAGTGGAAGCCTAGTTAAGGCTTCCGGGTAAACCACGAAAGCAATTCCAGGACCTGGAAACAATAAAAATAAAGGCTGTGATATATTTTATTGCATTAACATCATTGACTATACAGGAAAAAAAATACATGGGTAAAAAAGGGAGATGTCAAAACTCATGTTTCCATATATAATGCTCTATTACTATGCTTGTTAGAAGTAAAATGATCACATTAAGTCTCTGTTATTTACAGTAAGATTTATAACATCACACAATTAATATCTAATTTGGCTGTAAGGTTCAAAACCCTTCTACACTTCCCATTTTCACGTTGCAGAATACACATTTAACCAGTAGATTAATACTCTGATCCAAATAACAAACAAAATCTTGCACTGTAGTTGTTCTTTCCTGCTCTGCGATCTAATTCCTACCACTGTCCCGGTCAGCTGGCCTCAGACCAGCAGGGCAATCATCCCTACCTCAGTACTGGAGAAGAAAATGCTCTTCTCTAACTCAGCAGCAGCACACAGCCAAGTGAGCAAGAGAGAACATAATGCATGCACAGAGCTAATATCTGGCACATGGTAATAATTACCCAACAAAATATAATAGTATTATAATATAGTAGTAATATAAAAATACAATAGTATTATAATATAGTAGTAATAACTACTAAAAAAAAGATAAGGTAACACAGCAGAAAGAATAAGGAGTTGTGGTTTGTGTTTGTTTTTTTAAGATTGAACTGGGAGTTTTGCTTTCTCTGTTGGTTGGTATCTTAGACTACAATTTTTATTGGCTGTCAAGAAAAATTATTTTCAGAAGTATGCTTAGATTTGCCGGGGAGAAAACATTGCAGGAATTTGATTGTAGCATTGCAGTACATGACACTTCTCTATTTATCCTGGCTGAAGGAGTGCCCGTGTAAAATGCTCTGAAGGGTATTTCCCTTCAGGCAAGACATAAGTGAGAGAGAAGTTGTGCTGGTTCCATGAGCTGAGCCACAAGAAGGGGGGATCCAAGCTCACCCTGTCCTGGCCATTTCTAATCCAGATTATTGAACCTGATTTCCTGCAGCTCCCCATGCTGTTTCTTTTCAAGGGAGACCTGTTGCTTTCTCACATAATGGAAAACAAAATGCAGTTCTAGCAGCACACAAAATAATCTCCACAGGTTAACTTTTGAAGGAGTTTCTTCTGAACGAAAGACAAATATTAAATTTAACAACAGTGTAAAAAATAACACTGTGTATGACTCAGTGCTGTTCTGTCTTTAAAACATGCTGCAGAAAAATGGATTTTCAAAAGAGGATGGTGCAAGGGAGAAAAATTTTGTATTCACAAACATGTTCTTTCATCTCTTGATTAAAGATTTCTTCTTGACTATTAGAGATAAAGACTCTGTTTGCAGTAGCTTCCTGTATTTACAAGTTCAAATTAAGCCTTGAAATAATGATTTCCCATTAATCACGCTTTTAGGAAAAGTTTAATTACAAAATATGAAATTGCAATCTTTCCATCTTGGCGCCTGATAACTTTCTAAGGTATCGCATGCCTGGTAGCATCCAAGCACATGTAAACAAGTGCAGGGAGTCTGGCTTCCACCCCGGCCACCTTCAGGGACTTCTGCAGGAATTAACTCCTCCCAAATGTCTATTAAAGCCAGGAAAACTCCCAAGGTTTTGCACGTGCTGAAATGGAAAAGGCAAATGACCTTGAACTTTTTAGTGATTTTCCAATCACTAAAGCCTTTCAGTTGTGGCATATTCTTAATCAAGCTGTGAGAGTAGAACCAAAACACATTGCCTCTTTGAAAGGGCTCATTTTTTTCATCAGGATTTATTTTTTTTTCTGAAAGCAAAGTTCCAACTGAAAATAATACACAGTATTTCAATTTAATATTTTAGGAAGAAAAAAAAATTAAATCCCTTCCCCAGACCATTAACCATTTCATTCAAGTTTTTGAATGTCTGAAGGCAGATTACATATCATCACAGTTTTTGCTGTCTTCCTCCCTCTGTGAAAAGAAATACAACTTTAGAATTTAATAAAGAAAAAAGATAGGGAGGGATGAGGTTCTTCTCCCCTCTTGCTGAGTCAGCTTCTTAACTCTGCTAATTCAATATGCTAACTCAGTCTGCATTTTCTCCTCAGTTTTCACTCTTCCTACCGTGCAATTTTCTATCATGAGACTAAATTTTCTTTCCACCTATTACAGAGTATAGGGCAACATCACCATTGTGAAACAATTTTCAACAGCCTAAACAGGGTTTTACAGACCAACTGACAGCCCTACAATAAGATTGGCTTGTGACAGCTTTTTCCACATTCCCTCGAACATCTACTGAAACAGCTGGGAACAGAGAGCTCCAGCCTGTGACTAGTCACTCACTCAAAGACCACCAGCAAGCACTCAACAGAAAAGGTTTGGCCAACTACTGTGCTAAATAATACGCCATCCCCAGGGAGATGAACCAGCTGAACCAAATGTTTCCCCAACCACCCCTATCAGCTATGTTTCTCCATCCCTCCTCTGTAGCCCCTTCATGAGTTCCCACTGCAGCTTCACCCAAGCACAGCTCTCCTTAAAATAATCTGACTGCGCTGTGGGGTTTGGACTTCAGGGTGCTTTTTTTTTTTTCATGATGGACACACAGTCTAAAACAAAAAAAATAATGGAAACATTATTGCTGAAGCATCTGGCCTTCTAACTTGAATTTTCCTAGCAAACTAAAAGGATAGAATCAAGACTGCATAATCACAAGAATGAAGACAGACACATATATAAATAATTTTGAGAGCTAGACCAGAATAAAAAAAGTGTGAAGAGATGAATACACCGAAAACGAAACTTATTTTCCTCAGAAGTTTTTTACTCTACCAGACCACACTGGTAACAGTCAGTACTTCAGAGAGCTTCTGCTCTTTTTGTGATCCGTTTCAGTGCATCCCAAATGCCTTCTGCAAGGCATAGAAGATTCTGAGGATACTTCTGACAATCAGTATAAAAGCACCTGATAAATAAGGTGTTCAGAAATAGCTGACTTCTGAATTTTGTAGGAAACAATTACTCCCAATGGCTGCCCTTTATTTCTTCTGTCAGTGGACTTCTAGAAGAATAAATAGCTCACCAATAAATACAAATGAGAACCGCATTAAAGCAACACAGACAAAAATGCAGATGTCCAATTTTAAAACCAAATTCATAAGAAATATTTCGAAATACTAACTCTCCCTTTCTCCCTATTCTGCACCCCAAATACTCTTTTAGCTTGTTTTCTTGTTGTTTTTTGTTTGTTTTGCTTTGTTTCTTTCCCATCAATTACATGGAGAAAAACGATCACATATTTGCTAGGTAACCCCCGATCTTGCAGTCTGTGGCTTTGCACTTGCTCAGGTCACATTTCCTTGGTGCTCCTAAAAAAACCCTTGCTCCTTCCACTTAAACGCTCATTAGATAAATTCTGTTGCAGCTCTTCAACAGAGGCTGGCTTAAGTTGCTCTGCAGTCATAATCATTTTGAAAGGCTCACCAAAAAAATACCAAAACAATTCAAGGTCACTTCCCTATATACTCATTCCACTTCCCCATTTCATTTTTTATGTAGCCCTTATACAGAATCATAGCACGGAACTTGGGTGTCAAGGTGCCCCCTTACCCTCTTTTCCTTTGGAACCTTCTAGATTTCAGGAAATGATTTGTTCCTAACCAACAGCAATGCATACAGCAGAGATAGATATATTTGCCCTTGTGTCATGCCTCCCTCTCCTCTCACCATTGAACTGATGGGACTTGCTCCTGTGAAGTGATTCCTCATCTAGTGTCTTTTTGGAGCCCCTTAGAGGGAAGAGCAGTCATGTAACGTCAGAATGCAAGAAGATGAGGGCAAACCCATGCTACCATGCTAAGCCAGAAACAAATTATATAGCCTGTTTTTTGAGTGTGTGGGACAGAACTGTGTTCCTTTCTGTGTTGCCTAGAGGAAAAGCTGGTCATCTGTAACCTTCAAAGCTCTGAAAGTACAAAAAGGAATATCCTGACATGTTCTACTGCCTGGTCAACTGGGAGATGAACGCTTCCTCTGGTGCATAACAAAGCTCTCAGAACATCATTTGTAAGAGCAAAACTGCTGGCAAACAGTTCTTCTGTGCATCTTTAACAAAAGAGCACTAGCATTATGTGAGGATGTGAAAAGCAGATATGCTAACCTAGAAAGCTGGTAAGGCTACATACAGTGATAAAACCAGTCTTACAGCCCTGTCGCAAGACTGGATTCAAATGACATGTAGCCAAGAAAAGCTTAACAGAACTATCAGATGAAGACTGACCCTTAGCTAACTCTCACAGAGTTTTTCAAACACAACTGGTGTAGCACCTTGGGGCACTGAATTTAAGCACACAACAAACATGTCAGAAGAACATTGGGTGTCTTCACATTAACAACGACAGCAAGACACCTCGTGTATAAACGTCACCTCCTGTATGTAACATTCAGTTTTTGAACTCTCCGTCCTTCCTCCAGTTCAAAGCCTCCTTTTACTCTGTGCTACTGCAGGGAACTGCTGGGACAGCATGGAAAGCCTTCCATCTATTAATCCCTTTCCTTCAGTGCTTGGAAATGGCTGTATCTGTGCCGAAGGCTACAATACGATACTTAACACCCTCACGTGTATACAGAAATGGCTGTGGTGGGGAAGTGAAAAAACAGTACGTTATTCCAGAAGTATCACAGACTTATCTTTTTAACCAAGTCTGAAATCATCATGAAGATTGAGGTTGGTTTAGAGTCGATGTACTGTACATTTCACAGGAAACAGAACTAAACTAGGGTAATATTTACCCCTACATAATTCCACCAGATTTTTACACTTCTTCAAGCTTCTCTCAACAGTTACCCTTCCTATCTCCCACTGCTTCATAGCACATCATACATGACAGCACCCATTCTTCCATCCGTCATGTTCTTCTTGCCCACATTCAGCTGAACCCATTAAGGGATTACAGATCCACATTTCTAACCGTCTCACTTCATTAAGGCCTTCTCATCTGCTCCAGTACAGTAACTATTCTGCAGGAATTTTTAATTTCCCTGTAGAGGCATCTCCTTGCTCCCCACAGTTCAGATCCTCGATCCACATCTCAGGCTGTACTTCTCCTACCCCCACATTGCAAAGCCCAGCACTGTCTCATCCAAGATTTCTCCCATCAGGAACAACTTTTACCTTGAACAGGACCTAACAAGGCAGCAGCAGAGACAAATGGGAAACCCAGTGGTTGCTTACAGTATGTGAAGAAGACATCTCACCCCAATCATTTATTTACATAAAGATTTGAAATGTATCTCATCTTGCTTTTTCTCTTATCAAATGAGTGATAAGGAGGCCCCAGGTAGTATCTTGACTTCCCAGTAACAGTGAGTACTGTACCTTCTCCTGGATCAAGATGCACACAAGTGGTTTACTAAGCCACTGCACTTTGAAGCCTCTATTCCCACCTCTACTATCAACATCATTAATAATAGAGCAGAGGGTGCCACCAGGTGCCTGCACTTCAGAATCCGGTATGCGAAATGAAACGGCAGTGTACCCTACCTTGGTCTGCAACAGCTTCAATATTCACTTTGAGCTCATTTGCCATGAAGCCAATAACTGAGAAGATGACAAAGCCTGCAAATATACTTGTGGCACTGTTGGTACATGTGACTATCAATGTGTCCCTGCAAAGAAAACACAAAAAGACAGTCACCTTGTTTTTAATACACAGAAGGGGGTTGGACATGTTTCAAACGTCTCTCACATGCATGCACACATTCTGTGGGAACACTGACAAAGGCAAATTTTACACTTATCAGGTGAACATGATGCTGGTTGGAGACAGCAGAAGTCTTCACACCACCACCAGATATCAGATGTTCAAGTTTCCATCATTCACATGCCATAAAGGAAGCCACGGGTTAAAGAAGACACTGATTGTTTCTGCTCTTGGAATCTCTGAAGACAGCAGCAATGACAACACAGTTCATAATAGAGTGCTTTACTCTATACCTAAGGTGGCCATCTGCTCACTACGTTACATATGGACTAACCACCGTTGCTCAGGTAAAATATTTTTTGTCCTGTATTTTTCTACACACAACGTTCAGGGTAAAGCTTTCTGTACCCTACAGCACCTGCCCATCTGTAGAGGTACAGCCCTCGGTGATTGTTGTTGGGATGGGAATCTCAAGAAATCCGTATCTGAATGCCATGCTATCATGGTTAAGTCCACGTGACACGACAGGAAACCAGCCATCACTGTCTGTGTCCATGATTTTTTCATTTGTTCTAGGATTTTTTTTTTTTTCCACAAAAAAAACACCCCTTGAACTACTAGGGCTGAGGAACAAAAGTCGCTTACTTTAAATGCTTTTCAAACTTGGCTACAAATGCTTATTCCTACTGTTATTTCTTTGTCAGGAACAGAATGAAATACAATCTGAAAAGCTGTTAAGAAGCTCACTGAGCTGGCAAGCTATAACAGAGCATCCCTCAACAGGAATGATTAGGTTAATTCTTTAAGCTTATATGAAAAAAATATATTTGTTTGGAATCATTAAGGGTTAATCTTTTTCCAAAACCCACGTAAGTTTTAAGCAAATATTTTAGGTGCATGTTATGCAATGAATGTATATAAATTCACCACAACTGCAGATTATCTGAAGATGTTTAAATTGGATATGTAACCGAAAACTAGAATACTATTTGCAATATTAAAATGTAATGGATATAAAAATTGAAATGGGACAAAATAGTCAAGCTTCATTTCAGTATTCAAGACGTGTTGCAAAATTAACCACATTAGAAGTAATTAAGCTTTTCTAATTATTTCTGCTTCAGTCTCCCCATCCTCTCTAACATAAGTAAATCACAAATTCGGCGTTAAAAGCATAATATTATTTTTTAGCATAATATTATTTTTCCATTTTGTTACCACATATTTCATTCAAATTTGTCATTACTATTTTCAGATGCCACAAAACGTTGTTCAATTCAGGCAGCAAGATAGCATAACACCTGTCCCATTTTTTGCCCTGATATTCTGAATGTACCCATTCATCGCCAAAAAAATCAAAGCACATGACAAGCATTTTCACAAGTACAACATAAAGGACAATTAGCTGAGAGTAACAATAAACAATGCTTTTACTTATCCATATTTTAAGGTATATTCAAGTATTTTTGAAAATTAGTTTTGAAAACTAGTAGCAAGTATTTTTGGACTTTTTAAAATCTGAAACCATCTTTTTTTTGTTTGTTTGTTTTTCTTTTTTTTGTTTGTTTGTTTGTTTTTAAAGGTACCTAAGTGTATGTTCCGTATACAATACCTAGAACTTATAGGATATTGATAGGATATTGGAGTTCAAAACCCAAGGAGCCTGTGCTGCTCTTAAGCCTTGATTCAGGGAAGTTTTTAAGCGTGCCGTTGGACAGTCCCTGCCTAGCCAGCAGCACATGCTGTCCTGAATCAGCACATGCATCCTTGCACAGGAATCAATGAAAGTTTGCTTCAATAGAAACAAGACCTACTCTAAAGACAGCAAAATATCAGTTAAACATTCTGCTAATGTCACTTGCTTTTGTTGTTTTTTTTCCCTGTCTGCAGATATTCATCTGGCACACTTCTTGTTTAAAAAATGTACTATGCTACTAGTGAAATGACTTTACTTGCAAAAATAAATTTCACTGATTTCAAATAAACTTAACTTTGAATTTTACAACCTGAAATACATTCACATGTGTAAAACAATTAAAAATATGAGAATCGCATACAGAAATCGCATGTTGAACTCATGCATGTACAACAACAGCCAACTTCAGCTTATTCAACGTATTGGTTGTTCTTCAGCAGACATTGCCAACTGTTGTGGTTTCATAATGTTGCTCACAGCTGCTGACAGCTTCCCAAATTGGCTTTCAAGCTAAAACTGCCAATTCTGAACATAAAGAGTCAACAGGGACTATAATAAGGCTAAGGCTCATCATGGGACTAGTAGATCAGGACCGAGGAAAGAAAAATTATATACATATATAATTTAAAAGAAGAATAAGAGGAAGAAAAAAAGACAGAAGTGAGCATACCAAACCTGACTGCTGCAAGCTGGAAAATGTTGGCATTTTTGGACAAGACTTTTAGTAAGACTTGTGGATTTCACTCTTACATACCTGTAGCAATTATTATGGAATTTATTGTAAGAAGAGAGAGTGATTAGACCTCCCCATGCTGCAGATAAGGAGAAGAAAATCTGAGTGGCAGCATCCTTCCAAACCTAAGTAAGAAAGAGAGGAGAGGAAATAACATTGGCTTCAGGAAGAAGAATTAGAAAGACCGGTAACACTAATCGTCACTGTTGGGGATTAACATGCAAACAGTTAATCCTCTTAACCGGTGAAATAATTTTAGAGAAATGGATGCAAATAAAATAGCGTTTACAAGTGAAATCCTGCCCTGAAATACACAGTGTCCATTTGATTAGGAGTACTCTTCTTGTTCACTCAAAGTAAAATGATATTACCTTTGCCATTCAACACAATGTGTTACTTGTTACATATCAGTCTAAATAAGTTCAAAGGAAATACAAATCAAGAGGAAAAACTTGCATTGGGCACTGATGGTTTATCCAACAGTTACGTTATCTTCTTGATAAAATCAAGAACCTCAGCACTGTTGAATGTACTACTTATCAGTGACATTACATTCCAATTAGGGTAAATTTCTGTTGTGAAATGTACGTCAAATAGCATAGTATAAGGTAGGGCCGTTCAGACTGGGCCTTATTTCCTCCCTTCAGAAGACAACACGTGCTCAGCCAAGTCTCTCTTTAAAAATATATAGCATTTCAAATAAATAATGTAAATAGAAAGTACTGCTTGTTCCATACTGCTTGATATTCGTGGTTCTTTAAAGCCTTAGATGCATTTAGATAAAATATTTCTGAACTGACTAGAATTTCCAAGGAACTGGTCTTATTTATGAAAAATTTTCAAAATGTTCCAAGCACTGGTATTTCTATTTACAGGCTTTCTTACAAGTTCCGATTTTCCACCAAAGTGTGTTGTGCAGAAATGGAGCTGGACATATATGCACAAAATTCAGGTGTTCCTGTGCACACTAACTAGTTTGAAGGTACTACTTGAACGCTACTTCAAAAGACACCAGCCAGTAAGGAGTCAACATTTCACCTGTCTGCGTGTAATATACAGCTATTAATTTCTGGTACACCACAGAGAAATTTAAAAGCAGAAATCCACTTGAATATTCTTGAACACTTACCTAGGGTTATACACCTGGTGTGTACAGATAGCCCCATTTTGCAAAAGGCAACAGTTCTCACATCCATTTTTGCACCCCAGGGAATCCAAAAATGCTCGTACTTAATGCATAAAGTCTATATTGTTTGCTCAAGATTTAATACTCTATCACCAAAGGACTAAAATACCTAAATACCTGCTGTTTAAAGAGATAAGGACATTAAGAGTTGCAGAATTCCCCACTGCTATTGACAGAGGAAGGAATTTCTTAGGACAGATTTCTTGAGATGTTTCTAAAAGTTGCTTTTTCTGCAGAACAGAGTCTGAATTCCAAGTTTCAGCTCAGGCTTCAATTCAGTCTCCAGCCTCAGGACACCATTTCATGCAAGTATGTGAGCCATGTGTGGATTCATGTCTACACCAATACAAACCACGTGTATTTTTGTAGCGTGTTTTACCAGTTTAATTGGCAACAAGCAGCTTCTTAGAATTCAGTGGAAATCATGAATGAGAAAGCAGAGGTGAAGCATTCGTACAAGTCAATCTTTTCTAAAGAGCAAAGCCGGGTACCAAATTCCTTAACTCTGTCCTGTACTACACAGAAAGTAACATTATTTCTTATAATACAGGTAGTACAATGATCACAGCTGTTGAGGGAAGAGGTGCTAGAGTACCTTGTATAATTTGATTTTGTTTCGTGTCTCGCAGTCAGTCTTCAAAACTGCATTATATTCTCAGCATCTCTAAAGAATTTTCTAGACAAACGCAGACAGGCTTATTATGTTACCTATTAAAAACCTCACATTTGCTCAAATCAAAGCAGCATCCACTCAGACACCAGCACATGAAAATCTGTACTTCCTTTTTAATTCCCCATTTCCCAAATGCGCTTAGTCTAAGAGATTCAGGTGAAATATTAAATATGAAGTAAATACCATATCTGTAACAACATACATTATAAAAGGTATGTGCAGACAAATGACAAACATCCACTGTAACAGCACTCCATAGAGGTGAAGAACAGGACTGCACAGATGCACTGCCTCTGCACACAGCAAACGCTTGCAACAGACACTAAGTGAGAAATCTGTAAGTTATTCATGCCATCAGGAGTTACAATTGCAATAATAAGCCCACCATAGCATCAATTAGCTTCTCCCACTTGGGTGTGATGAAGTACCAGATTCCAGCTCCAGCTCCAGGTAGAGTTACACCTCTTATAAGAAGGATGATGAGAACTACGTAGGGGAACGTAGCTGTGAAGTACACCACCTGCAGAGACCAAAGAGGTCATTGAAAGGTTATATGAGAAGGGGAGTGGGAGAGTGGAAGCATTTCAACTTAGGCCTTAAAAGGGTAATTACTCAGGATCAGAGACAACAGGGGATAAGACTAGCAAGGCAACAGGCTTATTTCCCAGAATATCTGACAGAGTCAACATCTTTTGCAGAACTTCTCGCTGCTAGTGACAGGAATGATATCAATAGCAACAGTGGTAATAATACCTGGGATTCTAGAGAGAGAGGGGAAAAAAACAAGGTGAGTAAAGACTGGAGAGCAGTATTAAGTTCAAGCTGAATGGAAATACTGTGTTTGATCCTTGTCCAGATAAATACTAACACAGCTCACTGGAAATGAAATGAGCAATGCCAGTAAATGGCACCTAAAGCCCTGATCTTTTCCCGATGTATTTCTCTGTATTTAACTCAACCTAAAGATTTTGTATTACTTTGTACCTCCTAATAATTACATATCACCATGACAATGTTTATGGGCCCAATGAAAAAAAAAAGTCAGCGTAACAATCAAGATACACCAAATGACTGTTAAATGCACAACAGAGGTTGTGTGCTTAATGTCTTCATAATTATCTAGTACAGAGCAGAGCTCTCTCTGTAGTCAAATAAAATGCCAAGTTGCAATGAGCTAGGCTGCACACTCTTCAAAAGCATTTTAAAACCTTTTGCACTTCAACCTCGCAGCCTTACAGGGGCCAGAATCCTCTGAGCTGAGGTGACTTTTGGAACTGCTCTCCCAACTTCCCCCTTGCTGTTTCAAGAAGCTGCATTTTGTGCAGTGAATGAAATTCCATTCAATTGTCAGAAGAGATTCAATCCATTTCTGTCTAAGCAATATTCCTGAGAAATACCTTCAGAGTTTAAAGCAAAGTGCATATACATCAATGAAACAACACGTAACACATTCTTGTCTTCATTTGTATTTCAGAAGCTACTTCTTTCTTCGTAGATAGGATTTTATTATTTATTGTACTTAAGCGTATCATTTCTGCAATGACTGGTATTTAAATGATGTAATATTCAAACAGCATTACACAATTAATACGTAATCATTGTTCATCAAGAAAGGAACTAGGTTTAAATCAATAATGGCAAGCGGAAGCCAGCTGTTAAGGTTCAATAAAATTACTATAATCACTCAAGTCTACACTGAGAAAAAAATGAAGATACTCATTTCAAGAGAAGAGCTTTTCCCCTATTAGGCAATCAAACTTAGCAACATTAGCATGTCTATCCAACTTCAGTAAAAAAAACAAATGGCTCAAACAATAGAAAAACTCTAATCTAGAAGGCTTGACTGTATGGAGCATTCACACTACTTCAGCCCCAAGAAAGGTTTTACACAGACTTATCTAGCTAGTCCAGCAGAGCATCATTTCCACTCTTCATTTTAAAACAAGTGTACTTTAGGATTCTTAAATTAACTGGAACATAATTGAGCTATCCTGATACACATCGTTCAGGGATTTGTGCCTGCTCAACTAGTTTTTATGGTGAACCTAGATGCTATTTTGTCATTTAGATAGGACCTACACAACTTCTTCAGCAGGTTAGTTGTCCCCACATGGTACTGTACTAACAAGAATATTGAGTCCTCCAAGACCAGTTGACTTTCTTCATCTGATCCCCAGCATATTAAATAGACAGACCCATATGGCTGAAATTGACCACTGCGGGCACCTTCCTGAGAGCTGCCTGAGGAGCCAGACACAACTGTTTGCAGACTGACAGATCTCACTTTGCATTATTATGTTTGTTAGAGGCAGCAAGAACCACAGGGCCACGTATTGACAGTTACCGGAATGATTTCCACTTGCCCCCTCACTACAATCACCTAACCATCAATAGCAGTTTCTTATCCCTGGCACCAAGGAGCCAGTATTTCTTTTGGCCGCTACGCCTGTCTTACCTAATATCTCCTGCCACATCCAAACCCAAGTTATTCTCCTCTACATCTTCTGTTTCCTGGCTCTGGCCTTTCATGAAACAGTTTTTCCTGTCACACTACATGTAATAAAAAACAAAAAACACTCAACTTTCCCCTTGTACTCAAGTCTCTGGATTTTCTGCTCATTTCCAAGCTAGCTCATAACAGATGTTGTCAGCTTCTAGATGCAAAGGGGTGGCTTGAAGTTAGCTACCCGGTGACAAACTGTAGAAAATTCATAGCTGCCTCTGCACATGCATTACCTTTAACACAGAAAATATATAGTTATTCCATCCCAGTCTTGGCATTTTGCTTTGTTTCATTTGTGGGATGGTTTTTTTTTTGTTTTTGGGTGTTGTTTTTTTGAGTGTGTGTGTTGTTGTTTGTTGTTTTTTTTTTGTGTGTGTGTGTGTGTTGTTTATTTGTTTTTGGGGGGAGGCATTTTTTCAGCCTACAATTATTAAATGAACTGCATTTATCCTGTGGTATCATCTAACTTTTTGACCTACAAGCTAATTACAATGGCATTGAAGTCTCAGATATTGCATTGCTACAAGTGCCATGAAAAACACCCAAAGCAGTGCTGCTGCTGAAAAAAAAAAAAAAAGGGTTGCATTTCCCTGCGCAGACAGCTGCCTAGACAATTAAGATGCCTGCACTTGCATGTCCATGAGAGCACATATTCCCTCTTTGTATGGCTGCTGGTTAGGACGCAGGGCAGAAAGCTGAACATCAGAGAGGCAGAGGAGAACATGACACGGAAGTATAGGAGGGAGATGGGAGATGTCAGAAACAGAAAAAGGGAGCTGGATTACTGCAAGAAGTTTTAGGAAGAGGCATGAAGTAGTTGGGAAAACAGGATACATACTGTCACAGCTCAAACACCACAGAATGATTTAAGTTCAGTTCTGATTTTAAAATACGTTGCTTAACATCTTAGTGTACATCATAATTTCCCAGATTACAGTGACACCTGAGGTGACTGCGGGATTTCCGATGAATGCCACACACACTAGGGCACTGTTTCTGCCATCCAACTGCTAAGCACAGCTGAAGGGCTCATTTTCAAGTTTCCAAGTATTAGGGATCAAATGCTAAACCTGATTTCCAAAATTATCTTTTTAACGTTTTAGCTAGATAGGAAAACAGGAACAGGAAAAAAAGGCATTTCATTAATATGTAGCCATTCGTTGAAAACAAATTTCAGTAGTTCATTGCCTTAAACAAGAGCGTGATTCCCTCAAAGCAGGATACTGCTTTCCTCTAAGCGTATGATTGCAAATATTTTTCTTACTTTTCCTGATGACTTGATTCCTTTAGCAAGGGAGGCATATACAATCACCCAGGCTAGGAAAAGAGACAGTGCCAAGGGCCATCTAATCTCACCAGGATATTCTATCCCAGCTGAAATCTTCAATACAAAGTACCTAAAAATTAAAATAAAAAGAAATTAAACTAAAATTAAAAAGGAAAAAAAATAATGACAGCAACTGCAGGCAGTAATTCAGTGCTAATTCCCACGGTACGTAGTTCTGCTTTAGCGTTCTCAGTGGCTTCTCCAGAAGGTTCGAGTGAATGTCACCATGTATTATTTTATTTATCTGCATTGCAGTAGGAGATAAAAATGCCATGCACGGGCCAACACCCCAGCTGTGCTAAGCACCAGAGGAAAAGAACAAAAATAATGCAGTGTTTAAAAATTATCTTTCATTGTTAATATGCATAAAGTGTATCATTTATCATTCTTAAATATTTTATTTCTGGTCTTCTAAATAGTTACTTCTTGTATTACTGGTTGATTATCTGTATTACTAGAGATTTTTACTAGAGATTTTAGAGAAAGTAACGTAATATTTCAAAGGAAAGATCTTACTTGAAGTATTCTTCACTTCCGCTGACAAATGTTTTGTTTCCTTCACTGGTGAAGTTAACCATAGTCAAGTTTGGATAGGCACTCATACAGAAAGTAGAGTTCTTGATTTGGATTTTTGGTTGGTCACCAATAATGCATGAATCTGGGAGAGAAAAAAAAAAAAGGAAAATAACTTGTCTGGATTTACAGACTGGGTGCAAAACAACAATAAAAAGCATTCTATTGTACACATCACTTGAGTTTCAGTTTTGCATTAGGTTTCTGTAGCAATGCTATAAGGCTCAGAGTACTAGGTCTTAAAATGCCTCACGGTTTTTCCCTTTACACCCAAATGCTCAAGGTAGTAAAGAGTCTGGACCAAAAGCAGTTACAGGCAAGGGCTTGCAATAGGGGGTCACTATCTAGTCTTCCTTTCTACACCACGTCAATACAACTACAGGGATGCGCATAAGCTCAGCTCCAAACCAGGGATGTGTGTCACTGGAAACAGGAGATGAGACTGGACAGGATTTTACCCCACACCAAACACCCTGCGCAGCACAGGCACCTTTCAGCTGCAAAGATTTCTTTGTGGTTTGTTTGGTTTTTTTTGTTGGTTTTTTTTTTTTTTTTTGACATTACAGTTCTGAACTTACATCTACCCTTGATGGTGAAAACATTTAAAAAAAAAAAAAAGGTAGCAAATGAATTGCTCCAAGCCACCTGGGTAGCACTCCCTGCCCTGGGCTGGGCACCGCAGCCCCCGCTGGCAGCAGGGAAAGAGCTGGGAAGACCCAAAAGTGTATCCCAACTCACCTAGTAAAAGTTTGTTCTTATCTTTACAATCTGGTGTGTTCCAGGGGTTATTACAAGAAGCCCAAGGCAGCACGGGCACAAAGGAGGCAAACAGGTAGAAGAGTGTGTAGCACAAGATGATGTTGTAGTAGATGGCTATCAGGACGGAGATGATGAGCATCGCAATGCCGCAGCCTAGGAAAGAGCAGAGGGAGCCCAGAGGGGGCCACCATCACCACTGCCCGCACAGGAAGCCACAAGGGGTGCGGGTGGCAGGGGGGGCTCACCTTGCAAGGCAGGGATGGCTTTCCACACCGACACGGGGCCCTGGCTGGCGAACTGCCCCAGGGAGACCTCCAAGAAGAAAATGGGGATCCCAGCAAGCGCCAGCATCATCAAATAGGGGATGAGGAACGCACCTTTTGGGGGGAGAAATGACAGCCTGCTCAGCCCCAGCCCGGGCAGCCATCCCTGCCATCCCCAGCCCCAGCAGAAATGGGAGAGCAGGGTTTTGCATTTCCAGCATCCACTTGAGGCAGCAGTGTTGTATTAGAGAAGCCCCCACACATGCTTTTATTTTGTATGTTTAACGGCAAGCTTACCTTTTATTTATTTTATTTTTTTATTATTTTTTTCCCAATATTGAGGTGTTCCAAATGGTGAGTTCTCACCTCCAACAGCTCGGGAAGAGCCCGCACAACCTCTCTAAGGTCCGAAGCCCCCCACGGTGGCCTCCCCAGCTAGCACTCATTGCAGGTGTTTTTTTAGGACAAGCGCCACCTTATAACAAAATCTTGTCACAACTCGTCTACTTTGACTACTGAACACCAGCTTTCCCCCAAACCAAAGCCAAGCAAAGCAACAAAAAGCCCCCAGCGAGGATTTTCGCCAGGTGTGACGGTGCAGTGCGGGTCCCGGGGGTGCCCGGCTCGGCGTCCCCGACCTCCGCTCCCCTCGTGCTTATCCCCACCGCAGAGGGGGGGGGGGCAGCTCAGCCACGTACGGAACTGCAGGTAGAGAGACAGGAAAAAGCCATCATACCTCCCCCATTCTTAAAGGCCAGGTACGGGAACCTCCAGACATTGCCCAGCCCCACTGCATAACCCACCATGGAGAGGATGAAATCCAGCTTGCTAGACCAGTTCCCTCGGGCTTTATTTTCATCCCCTACATCGTCTTCCTAAACGGGGGGAAAGGAGGAAAAAAAGAAAAAAAAAGAAAAAGATCGGACAAGAGCTACGCTTGCAAACGAGCATCGCGGAGCCGCACCAGGGGCACCCTCCCCTGCAGCCGCATCTGCCCGAGAAATTAGGCTTTTCTGTCGTGCCCCCCTCCTCCGGCTGCTCCCGAGGGAAGGAAAACGTCTGCTGCAGCCCTGGGATGGGGGGGCTCTGACAGCCCCGCTGCCCGCCCCCCAGCTGGCTCCTCCGGGGGCGAAGGGCGCAGGGCTCGGCTCGCCGCTGCCTTCCCGGGGGGCAGCCCCTGCAATGCGCCGCGCCCGGCCGGGGGCGATGCCCTGGGGACAGGCTCTGCTGCTGCAGCGGAGGGCTTTTTGCCCCCGATTTCTGTCGGGACAAACACAGGCAGGACCGTACGCCCACTCCTCTCCGCAGGACCAGAGCCTCGGCTGGCTCTCGGCGCGGTAGCTCAGCACCGGGAGGGTCCCCTCTCTTCCCAGCTCCTGCCCCATCCCCGACCTGCTCCCAACTGCTCCCCGAGCGGGCGCTGAGGGCCGAGCATCCCTTAATCCCTTATTACCGGGGGCCGAGAACCCCGGGGAGGAGGCTCTTACCCCCTCCACTCTGCCGGGAAGGACAGAAGTGTTGCCATCCGTGCCCAGTACCACGGTGCTCTGGCTCAAGGTCACCCAGGCGCCTTTGGCGTTGTTTTGCTCCAGAGAGCCCTTCCCAAGGTTCAGGGTAGCGTCCCCGTCCGTGCTTTGCAATGCGGGAATTTTGCAGGGGGGAATCGCAGCCTGCCCGGCGGCCCCGGCCCCAGCGGCGTGCTTGTAGGGGAAGCTCTCCCCGGATTCTCTCCGCACCGTGGAGTTGGCTTGCACCGGGGTGCTGCTGAGTTTGCAGATGCCGACCTTGGTCCTGTCGAAATCGTTTGGCTTGGCTTCTTCGGAGGGAAACGTTTTGGGGTCGTTGGAGAGCGAGCGGGGCAGCCTGGCCATCGCGGCGGGGGCTTGCGGCGGGGCATTTTGCGGCTCCTCCTCGGGGCTGCCCTCTTCCAGCTCCCGCACCTTCGTTTGGTCCAGGAGCAACCGCGTCGGGGCTGTTGGCGAGCTGCTTGTTCATCTCCCTTTGACTGGCGTAATCCTAAAACAATATCACATATTTTACCGAACGGATTAAAAAAAAAAAACGTTTGGACGGCAGGATTTTTTTTTTTTTTTTTTTTTTTTTTTTACCGATTGCTTCCCTCGTGCGCAAAACGCGTCTGCTAGAAAATCGGGATTAAAACCTGGGTGAATTTCGGGGTGCCCGGTTCCGCTGCTTGCCCTCTCGTTCAGCGTTAATATTCTGGCGGAGAAAGCAGCGAGGAACGAAAAAAACAAGCAAACAAACAAACAGCGGCTGCAAACCCGCAACTGGAGTTTTAGATAAATGTTCCTACAGCACTGCGCCGCCAGACCTCGTTAGATTGCACATCACGAGCGTAGGATGCTCCCTTCCCTATCACCAGTGTAGAAAGATTCTTTAATTTTACGCCCCATTTCCTTTCTGTCATTCAACAATGCACATCGGCTTTTCTCCCCCCTACCTTTTTTTTTTTTTTCCTTCATATAGGCAATAGACAAGCTGCCCTGTAGGCAGCCAGGGATGTTAAAAAAAAAAAAAAAAAAAAAAAACACAGCGAAATAGTGCTGGGGAGCGTTTCTGAGCCGGCTGCCACCTCTCAAAACCCGACAGCAAGCCGGGGAAATGGGGAAACAACCGCACCACCACCTCGGGATCACGGCCGTCAGCAGCTGGCTTCCCTTCTGATTTTTCTTCGTTTTTAGAGGTGTGTGAGTCGAAAACGTGTTTTGAACCATTCTCCTGTACGCTAAATAGATTATTGACGACACCACCGTTTTCCAACAATTTAAAATTAAATTTCACAATATATTATTATTATTTAACCTTAAGGACCCCGCGGGCAATGCCTCCCTTTCCCATCCCTTAAAAATTTTCTTTCCCGATGCACCCTGCCTCCGGACCCCCATGCACCAAGGCTTCCCAGTACTGCCTCCGCCGTGCCTGCCGCAAGTCCTGGCTGCACCTGCGGCACCTCCGGCTGCTCCCCCAGCCCGTGGGGGCACGGAGCAGTGCCCCTGTCCCCGGGTGGGGTGACAGCCGCCCCTCTGCCTTGCAAGGAGAGGAAGACAGCGGCAGGTAAACGAGGCGGGCGCAGGGCAGCCAGCACAGAACTCACCGGCGAAGCCTCCCCTCGAGCCCTTCTAAGTGTCGAAGGAAAGAAATGAAGCGCTTACCATGCCTTAAAATCGAGTCGGTCGAGGTAAAAAGAGCAGTAGAGGCAATTGACAGACTGGATTTTGCTCAGTCCAGAGCAAAGCTTCTATACTTCCTTGGGAAAGCCTGGGTTTGCGTCAGTGCATAGCAAGGTGCCCTTCGTTTGACATTTTCGTGATAATAAGAGTTTGATAAATCATTACCCTTGGATTCAGATTTTAAAGGGACAACCAGAAGCCTGAGCGCCGGCTAGCTGTCACTCATGCGGCAGTGGGATTGCGTGTCCCGTGTGACTCATGGGGGGCTGATTACTAAACCAGATCCTGCAGGAGCACACAACTTTCTTGCTGGTTATTAGGGGCAGCACGAGAAACACGTACTACTGCGTCCAAAAGAAGAGCAAAAAGGGGGAAAAACCGGCCAGTTCTGCCCCTGTCCCCCCTCCCGTGTGGTCCATCCCATTATTCTGCATTCCTGCAGTTTACATGGGATCAAGAGTTAAAACAGCTTATATATATGGAAAAAATCCACACACACACATATATATATATAAAGTGTATAAATATATATCTCTCCGTATAGCTATTTCCAGAGAGAGATGTTCACTGTGTATATAGTGCACAAACAAGTTAATTGTGTGTCCCCTGGTCTCCCTACACCACTGTACAACACCACACCGTGCCTCCTGGGGGGAAGCCCTCAGCCCCAAGTCAGTCAAGGGGACACCCGCCATAAAGCCATCTCCTCTTTCACCAAAGCCACTTAAAGAGTTAAGAGGGAGCGAAAATGACAGCAACTGCAGTCAGGTCGTATGTGTGCTGCCCTCACCCATCAAAGCATTTTTTTTGTTTGAGAACTGGGGGGAGATTCTCAGCGCTACAAACCCGAAGTTGCGCTGGAATCGTTTTTCCAACGAAGTCATCCACCCATCACCACCTCCCACGCTATTTGCCACCTGAGGGGCTTTCTCGGAGATTTGTTGCTCACGAGTCAGTTTTATTTTCACCCTGAAGAAATTAAAAAAAAAAAAAAAAAAAAAAGTGCGTTGGCAAATCGGGATGCTCCCTAAGCAACCTTCCCGGTTGTTTTCGCGTCAGAGGAAAAGCTGCTGTTCCCCCGCACACACTCTGCTAGCGTCAGCTTCTCCCGGGGCTATTTTACGTCTTAGCGTAAGCAGTGTGCACCTACTAGGGGGAGGAAGGAGGGGGCTACGCTCCCCGGCACCCCACGCATCTTTGCACGTCCTCGGCTACTGCGGGGCTCGGCGCGCCCCCGGGGCTGCCCGCGGGGACACCAAGTCCCCCCCCGAGCAGTGCCACCCAGAGCACCGCGACAGCAGATGGGAGGGGGGTGAACGAAGCAGAAAATTGTAAAAAATCGTTTCTTTTTTTTTTTTTTTTCCCCTGCAGCAAAGATCAGCGCGTTTCCCAGGTGGGAAAAATAAATGATTTCACCTGGCAGCAGAGCTCCCGAGCGTTTTTACGCCACAGCTCGCCTTAACCTCTGCCGCTGCAGCTGCTGAAAATACACTTAAGCATCAACACCTGTTTTTCCACGCACATAATTGTACCAAAATACAGGTGTTTTGCGCACAAATCCTTTTATACAGCCTGCGCTCTGCTCCTCTCTCCAAGCAGATTTCTCCTCCGTTTCCTCCCCTCCCTGCATGCAGCACAGAGCCCCCCAGGAGCAGAGCTCAGGGGGAAGGCAAGCAGCGCTTGGCAGCGGTTCTGAGCTGTTGCAGAGAGCCGCAGAGCCGGCTGCCCACAGCCTGGGCAGGGTGGGAGCCCCGTTATGGTGCCCTTCAGGTTAAAATAACGCCTCTAAAGAAGGCACGGGGTGAATTAAAGCGCCATGGCAGCGCCCCAAGAACCAGGCAGGTCGGGAAGTCCCCGCAGCTCCCCCAGGAGCGCGGGGCTCTCTTGGTGCTGCAGCGAACCGACCCCCCTCGTTCCCCACGG